ACACCTGGTCACCTCATTTCAATTTACTGGTGTGGAGCTAGCCACAGAGTAAGTTCCTTCTCAAGGCAAGGATTGCACAGATGTGCAAATACTGGAAGGTGCAGTTGTGGGAGCTGGCCTTCCTGTCTGCAGCAGTTCAAGTGAAGCAGACTCCTGTGGGCTGAGGCAAGCCAGTAACCACACACTCTTTTCTGGCCACAGTGGTTGGGCTGAGGCAAGCGGGGGCCCAGGTGACTTAAGTGCTGGATAAGCAGAGCTTCCTCATAGGACAGGGAGGAGGGGCCTGGGAAGGGGAGCGGTCTGCAAAGGATGGGGTAAAGCCCACTATGACAAATTCTAATTCTGTGTCATAGAGGCAGTCAGGGACGATCAAAGGGTTTTGGGCAACCTGGGCACCATCATAAGACCCCATCTCAGACAGCCAAAGCAACAAAAGAAATCATGAAAGTATTAATTATATATATTAGTGGGCCTCATTATCAGATTTTATATATGATTGTTTATTTATTTTTGCAGGTCTCTCTGTCATAGCTCAGGTTGACCTCGAACTTCCTAAGTGCTGGAATTGCAGGCATAGGCCATGATTCTAGGCCACATTTCATTCATTAAGATGGTTTCATACTGCATACGATGTACTTTGATCATATTTATCTCCCCGTTTCTAAATTGTCCCTCTGTCCTTTTTCTTTTTTAAGATTGCACATGTGAGAGAAACATTCTACACACACATATATAGTATTATATTATATATATAAAATAAATGTATATTATATATTTCATGTTTCTCAAGCTGTCCTGTGACTCACTGTATAGTTGAAGATGACCTTGAACTTCTTCTGATCCTCCTGCCTCTTGCTTCCCCATTGCTGAGATCACAGGCATGAACCACTACACCCCATTTATGTGCTGGGGATTGAACCCACTACTTTGTATATATACTACTAGACAAGCATTCCACCTATTTAAGATCAACCCAGGCTATATGAGACCCTGCATCTTCTGTTGTTCTTATTTTTTGTGACAGGGTCTCATGTAGCCTGGGTTGATCTTACATCTACTGATCTGGGATGCTGGCCCCCGATCCTCTGTTACCTCTACTTTGTAAGGGCTGGTATACTGGAGTAGGCTACCACACCCAGCCCAGAGTCAGGCTTGTTCCTCCTAACAGGGTTACTGATTTCTAGTTGCTTGCAATTGGAGGTTTCTCTCCCACCTGCCAGTTCCCAAATAATACTCAGAGGCTTTTATTAATTATAAAAGTTTGACTGATGGCTCAGGCTTAGTACTAACTAGCTCTTACTTTTAAATTAACCCATTTCTATTATTTTATATTTTACCACAAGGCTCGTGGCTTGTTACCTCACATCTTGCTTCTCCAGTGGCTGCTGGTGCCTCCCTCGACTCTGCTTTCTTTCTCCCTCCATTCAGTTTGGCTTTCCCACCTAGCTCTATTCTGCCCTGTCATAGGCCAAAGCAGCTTTATTCCTCAACCAATAAAAGCACCACATATTCACCGCATACAGAAAGCATCCCACGTCAGTTGCTATCAGATTGACCTTCGTTTGTTATTAACAAGGTCTTCTTTGTCACCCAGACTGGCCTTCACCTGTACTTCCCTTTGTAGCCCAGGATGCCCTCAAATCCCCTCAGCCTGATTTGTTATCGTGTTTTTGTCTCCAGACTGGCCCTTCTCCCTTTTTAAACGGTGAAAGCGATCCTAAGACTGAGCAGGCAGTAAGTAGTGAAATGGATGACCTTCTTATTGACCAAGAACAGAAGCAATGAGAGGCAAACTTGCAAATCCATGTCTTAACTTTTGGGCTTGGGAGGGATACGGTGTCAAGAGGAAGGACTGCGGAAAACAGTGAAGAGCTTGTGGTGACATGCATCTCTTTTCTGGGAGTTTTGGTGCAGCCTCTTCTTGTTCCCTTTATAGTCCCTTACGACCATTGCCATGGCAACCGGCAACTGTCATGGTGCTGGAGGGTGTGCCATTTAGTCAGGTGATGGATTGATTATAAGGCAGTAAAACCTTGTCTGGGTGTTGCTCTGGTGGCCATCTTAGATCCAGCCAGTTTGGGATAAGTACATTTTCCTGAAGCTCTTGCTCCTGGCCCCAAGCATCCTGTCCTTCAAAAGCAACACAATGAGAAAGTCAGCCAGGGAAGCCGGCTACGCTTGGGGAGACACAGTGCCATCTGTCCTTCTGCCACAGGGCCACATTAAGTCAAGCCCACCTGAGGTATGCTCCTTCTGTTTTGAAAGTCACTGCAGATAAAACACTACCCTGATTAGGTTTTTTCCTAAACAATGCTTGGGATGGAACCCAGCAAGCACCTCATGTGTTAAGCGAATGCTGTTCCACCCCACCCCTCTAGGCTGTTAATATCTCTACAGTCGCCACTTTGATGTTGCCTAAGGTGCCTGGACCACACTCAGGTAAACAGGAAGATGTTGTGAGATACTTTTTGTTTGCTTTTGTGGGCGAATGAGCTAATTACTGGCTTTAGGCTGGGGGCTTGGCACCTGGAATGGGAGGGGAAAGGAGAGAAGATGAAATCAGTCACTGGTGGTGGTCAACTGGGAAGATTCCACCACCAGCAGAAGACGTGGGTTCAGAGAGCCGGGAGATGGCTGAGTGTTCCCAGGACCTAGGGGCTGGCTGTCGCCCAAACCCCTGCCCTGACCACGTACTGTTATCTAGATTTTACAGGAAGCCAGCAAACCTGTTTCCTTACTTGCGCACTGGCAAAACACAAGGAGAGAGACATCAACATTGTAGTGGTTTCAATGAAAATGGCCTCCATAGGTCCCAAGGAAGTGGCACTATTAGGAGGTGTGGACTTTTTGTTTTGTTTTTCTAGACAGACTTTCTCTGTGTAGCTTTGGAGCCTGTCCTGGAACTCACCCTGTAGACCAGGCTGGCCTCGAACTCACAGAAATTCACCTGCTTCTGCCTCCCGAGTGCTGGATTATAGGTATGCACCACCACCACCAGGTGTATTTTAAAATTTTTGTGTGTATGAGTTTTGCTTTCAGGTATGTGCACCAGTGCATGTAGAGGCCATGATCTACAGGGCGCTAGATCCCCTGGTTGCGAGCTGCCACATGGATGCTGGGAACTGAACTTGAGTCTTCTGGGAGAAGAGCCAGTGTACTTAGCCGCTCCTCTAGCAGAGGATCTGAATTCAGTTCCCTGCACTCACATGCTAATGTGTGTTATTTCATTTGTATTTTAATAAATAAAGCTTGCCTGGAGATCAGACTGTAAAAGAGTCCCACTGATCAGTTTTACAGACCAGGCAGTGGTGACACACACGTTTAACGCCAGTAGCCACACCAGTTTGCCATAGAAACCAGGCGGTAGTGGTACACACCTTTAATCCCAGCACTAGAGAGGAATATAAACTGGGAGGAGACAGCTCCCCCACACAGTCTCATTTTGAGATTCCTGGAGGTGGGATCGCCATTTCGGACTGAGGTAGAGGTAAGAGCCAGTGGCTGGCTGTTTTGCTTTTCTGACCTTCAGGTTGAACGCCAATATGGCATCTTACAACCATCTGTAACTCCAGTTCCAGGAAGTCTACTGGCTTCATCTGGCCGCCATGGGCTCTGTACATACACGGTTTACACACATACAATCAGACACAACGCTCATACATATACAATAAAAATCAAATAAATTTATTTATTTTTTTAAAATATTTATTTATTTATTTATTTATTTATTTATTATGTATACAATATCCTGTCTGTGTGTATGCCTGCTGGCCAGAAGAGGGCAACAGACCTCATTACAGATGGTTGTGAGCCACCATGTAGTTGCTGGGAATTGAACTCCGGACCTTTGGAAGAATAGGCAATGCTCTTAACCGCTGAGCCATCTCTCTAGCCCCCTCAAATAAATTTAAAAAATTCTCTAACATGCACAGAAACACCCTTATGTACATGCACACATGTATATATGTGTATGTGTGTTTTTACATGTGTGCACAGACCAAGGGTGCTGCTGACATCCAATGACAAGACAGCAAACTATGGTCCCAAATGTCCACACTGCTGTAGATGAGAAATGTAGTTGAGATGGATGCAGAGGAATATGATTTCACAGTGATCTTTTTTTTTTTAATTCACCAACACCCATTTAAAAATATTAAACCTTGGGAGCTGGAGAGATGACTCAGCAGCCATGAACATTGGTTGCTCTTCCAGAGGACTTGGGTTCAATTCCCAGCACCCACATGACAGTTCAAGACTGTAACTCCAGCTCCAGGGGCTCTGATGCCCTCACATAGACATAGATTCAGGCCAAACACCAGTGCACACAAAATAAAAATAAATAAATTAAAAAAAGACTCAAAGCTCTCCTATATTTTTCCCTTTGGAACTGTATTTCCATTCTCTTCCCCCCGTAGACCTTTATGGTAAGGCAGTAAGTAGGTCCCGTTCTGGTTGTCCTCAGACGTTTGCTGCTGTGCAGCTAGCTACGTGAGTATCCTGGACTACCAGGGCTCTAAAAGCCAGGGACTTCCTTCCGCACTGAGGGATCATCAGAAACTGATCAGAACATTACAGATCTATTGCCTTTGTTAGATGAGCTTTAAGCATAGCAGCCTTTTGATTGGCAGATCTCTTTTGGGGACGGCCTGGTGCAGAAATTTGGGTAAGTGGAGGCTCTCACCCTCAGGGTGGGGTAAGGGTTGGGGTTGGAGGGGGTGTTTCATCTGAAGTAGGTTTGGGAACATCTGTTGTGATTTGGGGTAGAAAGTGTAGATTAGCATATTTTCTCAGGATGATTAATTTTAGGAAAGAAAACATATGGACTCTGAGTATTTTGAAATTGATTTCCTTAAAAGTTCCATGCCCACGTACCCTCTGGAAAGTCCTCATGTTCCCAGAGAGGGATTCTTCATCCACTTGATTTAACTCGGTGCGGCTCCCAGTAACTAAGCAATGCTTTCCTTTTAGTGATTCGGAAAGGATTTTGTACATAGCATGCATGTTAAAGAAGGCAGAGCCGTTGTATTTATACTGTGCGATACTTCATATGTCAAGCAAGTAAAATTCCTTCCAGGGGGCAGATGGTGACGGAGGCGGCATAGCATCAATGTCGGCTTCTTCTCCAGTCGCAAACAAAACTTGTTCCCGTTTTTTGAGGCAAATGATTGTCGGTTCTGATTCACAGCCTTGTTACCTTTAATCTGAGATTTAAAAAGATTCCTCATTAGGATATGAATTTTGGCAAGGTCACATGCATCCAATCCTTCATACAATGTTCAACATATACCAAGTGTTCAATAAATAGCAGTTGTTGATTTAGGTATTCCAGCGTTTTACCACCGCGGCCAAGCCAAGATGGCGATGGACTAATGATCTCAGTCCTGTCTGATCTGCTGGCTATCGGAGTACAAGTTGTATCTGACTGCCCTGATTTCATGGACAGCTCTAGCCCTTTAATAGTCCGTTGAGTTCTGCAAGGCTCACATCATCATATTCTTTCATATTCTGGTCGGCCTCACAAGGACAACGCGTCAGCGGCGCAAGAACACTTTCTGGAAGGCTGAGACGCTGCGTGTTAAAAGTGTTATGTCGTTGCATAATGTGGACGGACGGCGCTCAGCTTGCTATGGGCTCACTTGCACAAAACATATGTAAAGATATGACTCCCATCATAACACCAAGGCACCTTAATCCTCGTATGGGCAGTCGTCTTATTGGGTTACACAGTTTTAATCCCAGAGGAGTTGTCTCTTGACATTAAACTGTCCAAACAGTATTTATATCTGTGGCTGCCCTGCAAGATCATTTACCCCTGCAGAGCCGTTTAAGAGTAGTTAATGACAGAAGCGACATGACTGGGCCCTTATGAATGATCACAGAAGTTCGACCCGGGCTGTCATGGTTTATGGAGGAAGGCAGTTTGTCCGTACCTGGCGTCCACCACAGCAGGTAATTTGAAATGAAACGAGACAGTTTCTACAAGCAGATTGATTTGGGAATCTTGCCTGTTCTTCCCTTTGACCCTTGACAAGTTGACACTACAAAGATTGTGACTTTAAAAAATGATTGGGTGCAAATACATTTAGGTAGATGATTTACCGTGTGCTGAAGCAAGGACAGGGGCTGCAGCGGTGCTGGGAGGGGAGCGACTGGCAACAGTAACAGCTCCGGCTTTATGTTCCTGAGCCTTATTAATTATCCCACCAGGCAAATCTACCGATAACCCTACAGCAAGCAGTTTATATTCTTGGCAAGAGACCAGGGGGCCGATTTCCTGGTGAGAGACTGGGCATCTAATTTCATGTGGTGTTCATGCTCAACTTTACTGATAGTGCAGGTTCTGGTCGCCGTCTTGGTGGGAATTCACAGCCTGCTTGTGATGACAGGGCTGCCATTTTATCTTATAGAATCTGTTTCTCTTATTTGCTTGCTTGCTTGCTTGCTTGCTTCCTTCCTTCCTCCCTCGCTCCCTCTTTCTCTTTCTTTCTTTCTTCCCTCTTTCTCTCTTTCCTTCCTTCCTTCCTTCCTTCCTTCCTTCCTTCCTTCCTTCCCTTTTTAGCATACAGAGGACAAAATACTAAATAATGATTAAAATAACGGGAATATATATATATATATATATATATATATATATATATATATATGGACTTACCAGGGAAATCTAAAATAAAATTCCACTCTGACTGGAGAGGTGGCTCAGTGGCTAAGGGCACTTGCTGTCATCCAAGTGGACCCAAACTTGGGTTCCAGCACTCATGTCACATGACCCACAGCTGTCTGTAACTCCAGCTCCAGGAGTCCCGATTCCTCCCACTTGCACTCATGTGCATCTATCTACATGCAGATACACACACCTACATGTGATTAAAAAGAATATGAATCCATTCTTTTAGAATCCTTTGTAACTGCACTGACGTTTCTTTGTCCTTTGTAGTGGTGCGGATGGGGCCTCAGGGCCTTGAGAACTGTGAACAAGCACTTTATGTCTGAGCTGCATCAACCCCACACTTATGTTTTCATACCAGATCTACTCAATAAGTGAATACATATTGTCCATAAAGACTCCAGTCAGTCACTTTTCTTAGAAGTAAAGCTTTGTCTTGATCTAGAAACATATATACTATGTATGTATGTATGTATGTATCATCTATCTACCTATCATCTATCTCTATCTAAATCTATATCTCTCTCTATATATATATCTAGATCTATATAGATATACATATATATAGACATAGATTGAGATACGGGCTCTCTATGTAGTTCTGGTTGTTCTGGAGCTTGATATGTAGACCAGGCTAGCCTCGAATTTACGGAGTTCCTTCTGCCTTTGCATCCCAAGTGCTGGGTTATGATCTATCAAAGTAATTTAAAACTGAATATTCTCTAAAAACAAGCACCAGGAAGAGCCTTTAAAAAATGTTACCGCCTCTCAGGCAGTGGTGGTGCCTGCCTCTGATTCCAGTACTTGGGAGGCAGAGGCAAGCAGATCTCTGTGAATTTGAGGCCAGCCTGATGTACAAAGCAAGTTCTAGGACAGCTAGGTCTACACAGAGAAACCCTGTTTCAAAAAAACAGAAAACAAAACAAACATGTTATTGCCATGTGTGGTAGTGCACACCTTTAAATCTTGCAGAGGCAAGGGGTTGTCTGTGAGTTCAAGTCCAGCCTTGTCTACATGGCAAGTTCCAGGCCATCCAGGGCGACATGAGACCCCCCCCCCCCAGCAAATTATCTTCATCCACGATTATGTACTATTTATGATTAGATTGTGTTCATTTACTTATATAGAGACAGGGCCTAGTGTAGTGCAGGCTGGCCTTGAGCTCCAGATGCTTCGTCCTGGGCTCAGAGGCTGTGTTACCATGCCTGCTGGCTGGACTATTCTAAATGAACTTTGTGGTGGAGAATTGCTGATGAGGCTGTGCTTAGCTTTGGGCTGAGGCACTGCATGCCCTCAACACCCTCTAGGGAAAGTAGCCATCCTGCAAGAATGCTAGAACTTGTACTGGTCTCTGTAGCTTTTGTTTCTTTCTCTCTTTCTGTTCTACCCACTCTGAAACATAATTTGAAGATGCTGTTAAAAAAAAAAATGGAACAAGTTTCCCATTGGTCTCCGTTTAAATTATTTACTGCCCCTTTGAGCCGTATCTTCATTGAACTATGTTAAAAGTATTTTGCTGAAATGTTTCTTTATGTTGTCCATCGGGTTTAATAGACACGCCATTTAATAAGCTCTCTACCTGTAAGGATAGACTATTTGACCTCTATGCCCTGCTACTGCCAGACATAGTATAAGATTGCTTTGTGAAATAAAGCTGTCGGTAACATCAACAAAATAAAAAATGATCGCATTGCAATGCTCTCTGCTGAGCTCTGTGGCAGCAGTGAAATATGGAATAAAATTGAAAGTAGATTAGTTTTGGGTCTTAAGTCATGTTTTGACAAGAAATAAGAGAGGAGAACATATCTTTGAACTTTTAGTTTTAAAGTTTTTAATGAAAATATTTATCATTTTGTAAGCTTCCTTCTTTCTTTATCGCATCTAGGCTGTATAACCTTAAAACAATCCGTTCTCTGATTGTGAGGGACATAAATACTGCTCTATCTTTATATTAAATATCATAAAGGAGACACGCACGGGGCACAATGGCTTGACACTTGTAAGTTAAGGAGTGTCATGCTAATAAAAGCGCTTATTGAAGAGGCTGGGAAATCAGTCATTAATAAGCCACATATTTCCAGGCTATGTAAACCATGTAAATACTGCAGACAAGCAGGCTGCTTTTGCTGTATTTTTTAACTCACCTTCTGGAAGGGTTTGACTCTGAAGAGGAAGAATAAATATGTCAGAGTGGAGGAAGCCTTGCTGGCGATCGCTTCCAACCTAAAAGGAATTTCAGAATTGCCGAGACATGCAGATTGTGGAAGGTCTTTCGCTTCTTTGGTTACATATTAATCAGATGAGATCACGAGGGCTGAGTGGTGTGGCTGGCTGGCTGGCTGACTGAGTAGGTACCACTCCCCTACCGCCACCCCACCTCAGGCAGCTGCAAACATCCTGGGCCACCGAATTCGAGCTTGTGGCTTTCTTGAAGGTTCTGCGCCTCCCTCCTCTTCGTTTCCTATGCAGAGGGTTCACAGAGGCCGTCTGAGCAGCTGTGCACCGCGCTGTGTGCTTCTCGGTTCACCCTCTTTCCCACAGATTGCAGGGTGACTCCTACCTTCCTCACTGTGTCCCCTCAAGGGGAGGCTGGACATGGGCTCCATCAGCTACAGCCCCTCAGATGGATGTCTCTACTGACATTCCCTTCCTAAGACTAAGATGGGCCAGGCTCCATGACAGACCCTTACTGTTTTTAGTCATGAAAACAGCAATCTTGTGTGTGCGTTTTGATTTTTATTGTTTTTTTTTTCTTTTTTGGTATTATTTTTATGGTACTTGTTTTGAGCCCAGAGAATTGCTTTACCTCTGAACTACACCCCTTACTTACTTTAAAAGATTAATGTTCTTATTTTTATTCGTGTGTCTGTGTCAGTGTGGGAGTGTGTGCACGTGAGTGTAGATGCCCTCAGAGGTCAGAAGGCGTGGAGTTCCAGGGAACTTGAGTTACACAGGGTTGTGAGCTGCCCAGTGAGAGCGCTGGGAACTGAACTCAGGTCCCCTGTAACAGCGGCAAGTGCTCTCAGCTGCTCAGCCATCTCTTCAGCTCCTTTATTGATTTATAGGCAGAATCTCACTGTGCAGCCCAGCTTGGCTTTGTAGTTGGGGTTGGCAACTGAACTCCTGATCTCTCTGCCTCTACCTTCCAAGTGCCCAAAAAAGAGGCACACACCACCTCATCAGACCTTAACTGAAGGCTTTAAGGAAAAGAGTTTGTAAGGCTTCAAACAACCTCCACTTAAAGATTTTGCAGCTGTTTCAAGGAAGAAAATTTAAAAACTGGAGATCTATACATGAGCGCTAGCTATTTCCCAGTAGTTGACGTGTATGCCAAGGCGTGGGGCCCTGTAAAAGGGCCCTTCATCTGTTCGCTATGTGGTTTTAACCTTGACTTTGCTAAATAGTATCTTTAAACAGGACAGTGAATTACTGTGGTCATTAGGTGGGTGTCATTTGTCACCCTTGATGGCAGCTTGGCTCCTGAATACAGAAGGCTGTCGGGTCACTATATAGTTGTCAGTGATCAAGACCAAATTTACATGCATGTTTTAGTCAAATGTCAGACGCTAGAGGGTCCTGAGCACATGTAGCGGGAGGGTCAGAGAGTGGGGCAGCGTGTCCAATAAACATGTCCGCGGCCCAAAGACAAGCTGGGAAAGGAGGTCACTGTGGAAGAGTAGGAGAAGACAATAAAACTGAGAAGGGAGATAAATTCCACTGTTCTAGAAGATAACAGGGAAAGACGTGGGCAGAAAAGGAGCAAGGATTCTAGTAGGGACAGAGATTTAGGAACTAGTTCTCAATGAAACAGAGAGGGGTAGACGACACTCTGTCACCCTGGGGCTTCTGTGTGGGACTTGTTGGCTATGGCGGTGGCACCTTCAGCAGACGTGACCCTCCTCAGTGCCAAAGTCCAATCTGTAATATGGGCCAAGGCAGAGGGTGCGCTTGTTCAGCCAAACAACCCACGGGAGAGGCTTGACCGAGTGGCTGGGGTGTGGCAGCTGCCAGCTGGCCTGGCGACCTCCTTTTCTCTCCCCGCCATTCTGAAACAAGAATGCCAACTTCCGTTCGGGTCTGATGACTCTGGTGAGGACCAGTCCACCCTGGTGGAAGGAGTTTCTAGAAGATCCTTACTGTCATTTGAGTTGCTCTAGTCATAGGCTTGAAGAACCCAGAACCAGAACTTTAGTGCCAATTTTATTTGTTTATTTATCATTTACTAGGGATCAAGCCCAGGACCTGGCACATGCTGAACCAGAGCTCAGCATTTAAGAGTGTATCCGGCTCTTACAAAAGACCCGAGTTCAGTTCCCAGCATCTATGGTGGGTGGCTCACCACCACTTAAAAACTCGGCTCCAGGGGATCAGACACTCTGGCTTCCAGAGGACCCGCATTCACAGCCACAGGCAGACAGACAGACAGGAACACACATAGTCTAAAAAATAATAAACAAATATTTAAAAAATGTCTTTCAGTAGTCTCTTATTGTTTGTTCTGCAAAAGCAAAAATATGTACAGATGGCATCAATGATGATGGCTAACCAGAGCAGTGGTGTAGTTGGACTGTCCTGTGAAATGATATCACAGTGGCACATACATGTGGTTAGCATGTTCCAGGCACTGTCCAGTGTGACTTTATACACATCAGCTCACTTAAAGGTAACTAAAGAGCCACTGTAAGATACTAGTATGATGACCTTTACCGAACAGCTAAAGAAACTTAAGTACAGACCGTTATAAAATGTGTCTGTGGTCGTTCAAGGAGAACCAGATTCAAAATCAGCAAGTCTCAGCCTAGAGTGGGGGCACATGCCTTTGGTTCTAGCAGGTGGCTCTCTGAGTTTGAGGTCAGCTTGGTCTATATAGCAAGTTCTAGGACAATTAGGGCTATATAAAGACAGAGTGCCTGTCTCACCCCCCTAAACAACAACAACAACAACAGATCAAAACCAAAAACTCAGTCAGTCTGGTGTCAGAATCTATGATTCTTTTTTTTTTTTGGTGTGGCTATTTTTTAAAATTTATTTATTTATTTATTATGTACACAGTGTTCAGCCTCCATGCTTACAGGCCAGAAGAGGGCACCAGATCTCATTACAGATGGTTGTGAGCCACCATGTGGTTGCTGGGAATTGAACTCAGGACCTCCAGAAGAGCAGTCTTAACCTCTTAACCTCTGAGCCATCTCTCCAGTCCTTGTGGCTTTTTTTTTTTTTCCAATACAGAGTTTCTCTGTATAGGCCTGACTGTTCTGGAACTTGCTCTATAGATCAAGCTGGCCTTGAACTCAGAAATCCACCTGCCTCTGCCTCCAGAGTGCTAGGATTAAAGGCTTGAGTCTCCAAGCCTGGCCTCCCTGATTCTTATAAAACCCGGCACAAAGTTCTGTTTGTGAGTCATCCATTTCTTAATTCACTCACTCAACAACCAATTAACCAATAAGCCATCCAGCAAACCTACTAACTAACTTAGGAGGCAACCAGCAAACCACCTATCACCAAGCCACCTACCCACCCTACCAGTCAAGCAATGTATTTATTTGCAATTACTCTGCCAGAGTAGGAATTAGAAAGAGATGGTGTCTTCACGCAATTCACAGATAGTTGAGGGAAGTAGGTATTAGTGAAATGCTAACATAAGCATAACCTTGCAGTGTAAGACAGAGGTAGCAGGTGCTGTAAGAATAGTAAGGAATTTGACCTAGCAAGGGTCCTTGAGAAAATGTTGAGTCGGATCTGAAAGTTCAAGTTCCCCACCAAATTTGAGCTGACCCAGTTCTTCCAAGTTCCTGGGACAGGGAACTAGGTGCTGGGGCATTCAGAGGTCACTGAGGTCAGCCGAAGCCTAATGCCAGAGGAGGCCAAGCCACACAGGCAGACCCTTGTGGGCTGCGGAAGGGGAGTCAGGTTTCTCTTGAGACCAGCAGAAAGGACTGAAGTGTTTGCAGCAGAGAGAGGCCACTGTTTGTTCCCTCTTGCTACAGTGAGAGGCTGGATTTGAAATGGGTCTGAGGTGGATGTGGGGAGCGCCCCTTGGGGCCACTTCAGGGCTCAGGTAAAATACATGGTAAAGCTCAAGGCAGAGTATGGCTGTGGCGCGACTGGTGGCGGTGTGCAAACATTCAAGAGATGATTGGGAGGCAACATTGACAAGGCACGGATGAATTAAAGACAGGCAGCTGCTCCACAGTCCTTGAGCTTTTGGAGTCTAATGAAGGTGCTGTCTGCGGTGATGGAGAGGCTGGGTAAGAGCAGGGTGGGTCTGCCCTGGACACGTTGAGTTTGGAGTTGGCGCATTGCAGTTTTAATGTTGCAAAGGATAAAGACAAAATGCAAGTCTCTTTACCTGGACTTTTTACAAGAATTGAAGGGTAAGAAGAGTTAGAAGTCGGCTTGCTCAGTGCCCACTGTCCTCTCGTGAAACTGGCTTTCACAGGAGGGCGCTCCTTTGCTCCTCGTTCACAATCCCTTTCTGTCTAGGAGCGGCGCACTTAAAAGCCATCGTTCGGAACACCACCTTTACTAAAGAGAGGAGCGCTCGGCCGGCAGTGTAATTGTTTCAACATGGTCGCCACGTAGACGGACTCGTGTAAGCCATCATTAATTCTTTGTATAATTAATGCATAAAACGCAGAGTTTCTATTAATGGAAAAGCAAACTCAAGCATCACGCTGACAATATTAATAATATGCATTCGTAATTACATACTGTAGATAACTGTGAAAGCTACATTTTATTACATTAATAAAACGTAAAACCTCCTGAAGCAACCCAGAAGTGTGTGTGTGTGGGGGGGGGGGGGGACGCTGCAGAGTTCGCTGCTTCATCTATGTGTCAGGAGTATGCAGGTATCGTTAGCTGGTAGGGACCCTCGCAGGGTACAAGGGAATCTCTGATCCTCTCAAAAGGATGGCATTCATATTCCTCTTTCTAAAACTAGTATAAATAGCTCACTGTACAAATTAATGATCTGCATTGTGACATTTTTATATGTGTATCATCTTCTTTGATTATATTCCATCTCCATTACCCATTATTTTAATTAATTAATTTATTTGTTATTTATTGTTTTTGGCTTTTCGAGACAGCTTTTGTCTGTGTAGATCTGACTGTCCTGGAACTCACTCTGTAGACCAGGCTGGCCTCAGACTCATGGAGATCTGCCTGCCTCTGTCAAGCTCTGGGATCAAAGGTGTGTGCGCCACCATCGTCCGGTTAATCTCACATTCTTAACCCTACCATCTATTCCTGGTTCTGCTCTTTCCCCAACCCTACTCTCATGTATGTGCATGTGTGTGAATGTAAACACACATACTGGAGTGAGATAGAATTTCAATGCAGGATTTTTAAAAAAATCTTGAAAAGCTACATGATTTTTATAGACTTCCTAGATTTTTACCTATGAAGGAAAACAGGTGGAACATATTGGGAATTCGCTTTCTTTCAGCTATCATCCTGATCTCTGGTCCCATCCGTTTTCCTGCAAATGATACAATGTCACCCTCTGTGGCTGACTAAAGTGCCACTGTGTATGTGCCTTGCCGCTTTTATCTGTTCCTTTGGGATGGGCGCCTGGGTAATTGTGTAGCTAAGCTATTATGAATACTGTTTCCAAAACACAGTGTCAGCCACCTCTGTCTGTGTGACTTAGATGTCCTCATACACTTGTATAGGTTCCCTGGATTGTGGAGTGTTCCATTTTTCTTCCTTTTTCACGGAATGCCCATATTGATGTCCATAACGGCCCTGCCGAGTTATATACCCACCACAACTGTGTATGTGCCCCTCTTTCCTGGCTGCTGTTTGTTGTGATTTGCTTTCTTGAGGTAGAATCTCAATTTTCTGTTTTCCTTTTTAGATAGGGTCTTGCTCTGTAGTCCTGACTGGTTGGAACCGGTTCTGCAGCCCCGGTAGGCCTCGGTCATGAGACCATTCAGTCTTTGTGGGCTGAGTAGTTGACTACACACCTGTACCACTAACTTTACACAATTTGCCCATTTATTGACTGAAAACTTTTGTAGGTTTACTTTTCTTTACATATTCTGGATATCAATCCCTTGGCCAGTAAATAGCTGGCAATATTTTTTTTTTCTATTTTATAGCTTGTCTCCTTACTCTGGTAATTGTTTCCATTGAGATGCATAAACATTTTAATTTTATGTAATCCCCTTTGCCATTTCTTTTTATTATTACCTGGGTGATGGAAATCCTATTCAGGAAGTCCATTATCATTCTTTCTTCTTTTCTTTTCTTTTTTTTCGAGATAGGGTTTCTCTGTGTAGCTTTGGAACCTGTCCTGGTACTAGCTCTGTAGCCCATGCTGGCCTCGAACTCACAGAGATCTACCTCCTGAGTATTAAAGGTGTGCACCACCACCACCATCCGACCCATTATTATTTTTAATGAGACGTCTTTTCCATGTTGAACTATTGTATGGTGATGGAATACCATGCTATTATGAATGCGAGTCATGACAGCAAGAGTAAAGATAAAAACCCAACTAAATAAAGAAAAAGAAGCACTTATCTTGACTGAGAGACCGGCTACTATTACTGCATCTTCTTTCTGAAGTATGATTGGATCTTAGGGGACTCCAGGGAGAGTGCTATCTGATTTATTAAAGATTTGCTCTTACTTTTTCTGTATGTAAGGGTTTGCAAATATGTGTCTGTGTACCATGTGTGTGTGCTTGGTGACTATGGAGGCAGAAAAGGGCTTAGATCCTGTGGAACTGAATTAGAGGTGGTTGTGAACCACCCACCATGGCCACTGGGAACTGAGCCAGGGTCCTCTGGAAGAACAGGCGGAGCTCTTAACTGTGGAGCCGTCTCTCCAGCCCTACAGAGTACTAATTTCATAAAGGAAGACGTGAGATGTGTGTAGGGTCGCGGGTGTTGCTAGCTTAATATCTTGGTCATGCTGACAGCCGAAAGGACAGGTGTGCGGGTTGGACCAGACCAGGCGATCCTCCCTCCATGCCTGTCACTCTCTCCATGAAGGAGGACCCCAGAGGGTTATTTTGGGCAGTTTCAGATGCTCTAAGGACTCTGAGTAGGTCTTTCTTCCTAGACAGGACGTGGGGGAAATAACTTCATTTTGGGGATGGAGTAGGGAAGTCTCCAAATTTGGAGATCATCGGAGTACATTCGAAACATCTTGGAGGCTGGAGGTATGGCTGGCGGTGCAATGCTTGCCTAGCACTTACAAGGAAGGCCCTGGGTTCCATCCCCAGCATCCAGGAAAACAATGCTAGAGGCAGGCAATGGCTCTGTGGAAGCTTCCCTGGGTAAAGTCACAGAAACACAGGAGGTACACATGACTGGTCCTTATGCACTTGCTCCTGTGTGGTCCGGATTCCAGCGGGGAATGTCCAAAGCATCTTGTTTTCCATGGCACACCACCCAGAAGGCCCACAGAGGCATTCCCACTCAGTTACCCCAGAAAAGAAACTGTTTGTGGCTGTGGGACAAGGTTAAAAGTTTGTCTGTCTGTAGCTAATACTATATATATATATATATATATATATATATATAAAGGTAAAAAAGGAAAAAATTTCCAGAATAATCTTGCATTCAAATTGTTGTTCCAGAATGTCCAATTTCTTCTATTTGTACTTTCTGTTCTTTTTTTTTTTTTTTTGCCACAGCACCAAAAATGAGGTTGCTTTGCTTAGGTATATGGATGGTCTTTGAGCTGTTCAAATTTGTCTACAAAAATATATTGTGGGGGGAACTTGAAGGCTGCCTGCTTACACTTGCTCCCGCGCTTTCGCCATCCAGTTCACCTCGCCAGCATGTCTCAGGCTGAATTCGACAAAGCTGCCGAGGAGGTGAAGCGCCTCAAGACTCAGCCAAGTGATGAAGAGATGCTCTTCATCTACAGCCACTTCAAACAAGCCACCGTGGGTGATGTAAATACAGATCGGCCCGGGCTTTTGGACCTCAAAGGCAAGGCCAAGTGGGATTCCTGGAATAAGCTGAAAGGAACTTCCAAGGAAAGCGCCATGAAAGCCTACGTGGAAAAAGTGGAAGAGCTAAAGAAGAAATACGGAATATAGAAGACCAGATTTGGTGGCCAGCCACACGTGTGACCTGTGAGGACATAATGCCTTGTTTTTTTCTAATGTAGATGATATGGCTCTGATAAATTAGGGCCAGAATTAATCGCTGATCCTCCTCCCTGTGTAGTTTTTACCTGAAATCAATTAAAAGTACATTTGTTACTTAAAAAAAAAATATATTGTGGGGGTTAGAGAGGCAGCTCAGTGGTTAAGAATACCTTGTTCTCGTAGTAGCCCCGAGTCGAAATTCCAGGACCCACATATCGCCTGACCACCGTTCCTAACTCCTGTTCTAGGGGATCCACCACCCTCTTCTGACCTCTGAGAGCACTAGGGATGCATGTGGTGCGCAGACATTCATGTGAGCAAAACACTCATGGGCATAAACTAAATTAAATAAATCTTTAAAAAGACTTTATTAAAAATATATAGAGTGCGCGTTATTTTATTTTTCTGAAGACGGGTTTCAAGATTTTGCAGTATCCTCTAAATGGTCTGTGAGCTCCCTTTCCTAGTCTAAGAAGCATTTATGGGCCAGAATATAAATAGTTTATGAATACAGATAGAATGCTTTCTTCCCTCTCTGTGTAGTTCCTCATATGGCCAACAGGTGGCAGCATAGACACCAGCCTTCAACTCCCTCATCAACTCCTACCCCGCCCCGCTTTCCCTGACCTCAGATAAATTTGAGGTATCATGTTAGGATCCCATTAGCAACCTAGCTGTGTCGCGGATAGACTGTGGACAAAGTGTCTAATCAAACTGCCCCCCAAAATCTCTGTGGAAGAGTGAAGTGAGATTAAACAGCAGAGAGGCAGTATTTGGTATGTTTTTGTTAGCGAGAGAAAAAGCACTCAGCTGGCTGAATCCAAGTCCTCACAGACTGGAAAATCGAATGGAATCTCCAGAGCAGCGCTTAGCGCTTTACTACGGAGCAGCTAGCTTAAACAGTGTCTGTAGGGAATGATTTGAGCAACTTTCTTATTCACAACAGTCAAACCGTTTCTTGGAACCAACAGCCCCAAAAGCTCCTTTGCTCCCCAGAGACTGAGCAGAACAGAAAAAGAGGAAGCTGTCTTGCACTTGTGCCTCTGAGAATTTTTAATTTTGACAATTAAGTATCACTTTCCATTTCCGTGAGCTCACGAGAACCCTGGAGGTGGATGTCTGCTATGAATTCTTAAGCGTTTATACATTGGGCATTTCTTTTTTTCTGTAAGCCAAACTAGCTAGTTCAAATGTCAGCATTTTAGGCAGAAGGTTCTGGGTCTTCATATGGCCGATGACAACGACATTTCTCAGAATTAACTTATTTGCTTACGGGCATATGCTTTGCAGTGCCCGTAATTCTTAGAGATGGAATTAAGTTTTTGTTTAAGTTTAACCGAGTCCAAGGTCAAATCTCAACAGGACAAGTAGTTGTGGGGTTTGATGGGGTTCGTTCCGCCCGTGGCTTCCTTTTCTTTGGAAAGTCGCCATAAAAATTCTGTTCTTAGGGAACAAGGAGCAAATAGATGAACCCTCACCGCGGCAGGCTGTCCTGCGTGGGAGAAGATGACGGATAGAGGGGCCCAGTGACAGTTGACAAATGTCAGCAGAAAGGATGCAAATGTCGTGGGTAGAAGAGAATTTGAAAACTGTTTGCCAGCCGGTTTGGGTTCATTTTTCACAGTCCGGTTCAACTGTGAGGCTCCCTTCAAATGTAAAATAACCTCCCGGCAAAACCCAGAGCCAGGAATTTGCATCTGAGTTCAGCTTCTCGCGGATTAATAAGTACCGTTAGAAGGACCTCAGTGGATCAATCTGCCGCCAATCAATTAGTATTTATGGAAATGTGGTTTTTGTCTAGTCTTCCATGAAATGTCGTGAGCAACAGGGGACAAATAGAATCCTAATCCCCCGGTTGTTATTCCTGTTGTTTTCGGAGCCTCGGACCTTGCAGGGTGGGGGCAGGAGAGAAAGTGAGCCACAGGGAGCCGCGCGGCAGCAGAGAGTCAAAGGCAATTGTTTGATGATGATTATTTATTTATCAATCAAAGCACTGAGGATTGAACCTAGGGCCTCAGACATACTAGACAAGTGTCCTACCACTGAACTATACTCCCAGTGCATTTTTATTCCGATTATAAAATCTGAGATGAGGCTTCATCCCCAGGCTGGCCTCAAACTTGGCAATCCTCCTTTCTCAGCGTCCATCAGGCCTCACAGGTTAGAAGGTGTTTTAATGTGAGTCTGTGGCTCAGGTGCAATGCTGTTCCTTCACCAGGGCTCCTCCGATGAGTCCTGGTGCTCGGCACTGGGCTCCTTTATAAAATGCGTTTAGTGGGTAACAGCTCCAGTGTGAGAGCCCCTAGGGTGTGTGTGTGTGTGTGTGTGTACGCACACGCAGTGTGACACAGAAGGGCCTGATAGGTCTGGACCGGGGTGGGTGGCCTTTTCTCCTGACCACCTCGGAGGACCATTCTAAAAGCTCCAGGTGTGTGAGGGGAAAGGAGAAACTGACTCAGTCAGAGTGGAATGCATTTGGGTTTAGTTTTTCCATGAAGGAGAAGGTTATTTTTGGGTTCTTACAGGTTGGCCCTGTGTGTGGTTACTTAATGCAAAAAAAAAAAAAAAAAAAAAAAAAGCCAAAGAAACCCTCCTCCCACTCAGCTCCCTCCCCATCCCCCACAGAATTTATAAGATTCACAAATAGCAATTCAGGTGACCTGCCTTGTCAGGTGTGGGACAGACCTACTATCTATCCTAACACTGGGAAGGCTGAGGAAGCTCAATTGTCCCTGGGTCCGAGACCAGACTGGGGTACATAGTCAATTCTAGGACAGCCTTGCCCGTCAACTTCTTGAAAATTTCATTTATACTGCATTTTGTTATTACGGGTTAATTGTTTTAGGCATGATCCCATGGAGCCCAGGCTGCCCAAACTCCTGATCTTCCCTCCTCTGCCTCCGGAGTGCTCGGGTCCCAGGAGTGCCCCCCCCCTTCCTCGTCTCAATGTGTGGTCCCATCTGCCAGGCATGACTGTAATTCCTCCACCTGTTAGATGGCCGGATCACTGCTTCCCAAAGTATAGTCCTAGCTATCATCCCCACAGCGTGTCAATACACGTTTTAGAAAGGGTTCCGCGTGAAAATGAGTGTGTCCTGGGCTAAGGCAACTTTCACAGGTGTCTCTTGTTTTGAGACAGGGTCTCACGTAGTTCAGGCTGACCTGTTTTTGGAGGATGACCTTGGACTTCTGATCTCTGGCCAGCATCACTCAAGTGCAGGGATTATAGACCTGGACCACTGCTCCGGATTTATGCAGTGCTGGGGATCCCAAGGGTGCTGGGGTGGGGTGGAGCTCCTCAGTACTAGGCAGGCACTCCACCAGATGAACCCCAGCCCAGCCCTCAGAAGGTTTCTGAGGTCTGAAGCGGGTGTGTGGTGTGTGTGTGTGTGTGTGTGTGTGTGTCTAAAACGCCTTGAGGACTTAGGAGATACCTGTATATAATTAAAAAGACCATCACAAAAGAAGGCAGAAACTGCCAGGCAGTAGTGGCGCAGGCCTTTGATCCCTGCACTTGGGAGACAGAGACAGGTGGATCTCTGTGAGTCCAAGGACAGCCTGGTCCGCAGAGCAAGTTCCTGGATACAGAGAAGCCCTGTCTTGAAATGCTAAAAAAGACAGACAAAAAAGTTCAAGGTGAGTTAGTGAATGATATGGTACATCATTTTGGAATTTAAAAATTAATATATATTTGTTTCTTTTGCTGTAAGGTCTCATGTTGGGGACACTGACCTGAACCCTGATCTTACTGCCATCACCCACCTCCCAATATGCATACCATCACACGCGACTCCTTTTATTATTTTAAAAATGTGTTTTACACTTATTTATTGAGAACAAAGGTGTGTGTGTGTGTGTGTGTGTGTGTGTGTGTGTGTATGTGTGTGTGTGCACATGCGCAGGCACGCACATGCACCACAGGGCCAGTGCTGCGGGCAGGAGACAACTAATGAAGTTGACTCATAGGAAATAAACTTAGAGGATCAGGCTTAGCAGGAAGTGCCCTTAGTGGCTGAGCCATCTCACTATCCCGCATTTTAGTTTTTTATGTCACTAAAAAAGTAATCTAAGGCCTAGAAAGGCAGCAGGCAGGTGTAAGATAGTGAATGAGCTCATTGTAAGAAAGGAGTTTTACAGAATTTTAACAGTAAGCTTAGGACAGCAGGTGTGAAATTATACAGGAGTGTCTCTGATGATACATATTTTGGGGGCACAACTTGAAATACGCATCTTATTACGATTCATGTTTTGCAATGTCTAAAACAGGCCGGGTACAGCTTGGGCCTTTATGTGTAATTTAAGAATGGAAACCATAACAATATGTAGGATGGACGAATTTATCTTATGAATGGAGGAATTGGGTCATCGTCAGGCAGTTTTACCTGATGGGAATCCCTCCCTGTAGGTACTCAGGCAGTGAGCAACAGCGCTGGCCCGGCTCTAGCAGGATTGCGAAGGAACGCTGCGATGAAAGTTGGGAGCATTATTTTCAGTGACCATGCTAGGTACCCCATTCCCTTCAGTGTCAGTTCTGTGGCGGCAAGACTGGCTGCAGCCTGTCTTTAGTTGCTGCGCTAGGGTTCCAGCTGCGAGAATGGGAGGCTAACAAGCTTCCCCAAGACCACCGAGAGCAATTGCATCAGGGAGACACCGTGTGATTTTTGCCTTTCCATGGGCTCCGGGCCTGTGGTTCCACAGCTCCCCAGGGCACCAGGCTAGACCCGAGGTGCTGGGAATGACCTTGGCGCCTCTCAGCAAGGCCACCTGAAACGGAAAAGGGGGGGGGTACGCTTGATGGATTTCCGGAAGAGGGGGACCAGACTTGGACTTTCTTTAGAGAGCAGGGAGCCTGAGGAACAGGCTGGGTTACCAAGGACAGCCCTCTGGACTGGTAATAAAAGGCATCCCAGCTGCGTGCTTACGGATTTGCAGAGCAGACACAATTCTTTAATGCAGGAGCAGGGTTCGCTGCGGTTGGTTAGCTGGGGCTGCCCCTCCACGGGGC